TCAAACTTCTCTTCTTCTAGATCACTGAACTCTTTTCTGAGGTTGATGAATTGTGTTTTTTCCAGGAACGATGCCAATTGATCCAATTTGAATGCCATGAAACGATATGAATCAACAAATCTGAATTTTATGTTAGATCTAGAATTATGTTGGGTGAAACTGATATATTTTTCCTTATTTATTGGAAGTAGAGTAACCTGAGAGTGTTTTGCCAAATCTTTTATAATGGAATGGCTATCATATCCCGATAGGTTGTGGAAGAAAATGGGAACGGTATGGGAATTTGTATATTCGAGGTTACATTTCGAATGACTGAATCCGCGGAATCGCCCTGTATAGTGGTCATGGTCGCGAACGATGGTGTCTGATTCGATAAACGTTCTTTCACAAATGTGACATGTAGTTTTATCAAAAATTTTCGCAGCATCTTTGCTCATCGGTAAGTTCATACGCATTTTTGTCTCAATGAAGAGTGCTAAGTCATCTAACTCTTTCACAAACCACTCAATGCAGTCGGTACCTCGGTAACTTTTATAGAATGATGAACTGTCATCAAAAGTAAACTTTACATAATATCCCACACTAAATGTTTCATGTTTCTGATACCAAGATGTTTTTATAATTTTTTTTCTACATTGTTCATCTTGTAGTGGAATGAGCAGTGATTCAAAATCACTGTAAACGACGAAAGGAACTCCAAAAACTTTTCCTCGGGAAATTCTATTTTTGATTTATTTATTTTTGAACAATATATATCATGAGCATTCAATTTCTCTTGGTTTTTGAAGTAGTTCAAACATGTATCGCAAATGATTTTTTTACCATTTCTCTTCCCAATTTGCTTAGAAACTAATCGTGATAGGTTCTTTATCCAGCAAAAATGATACTCAACAGAATTCTCATCTTTGTTGATATGATCAAGTTATGACATTTCCATGTCACCTTCTGAATCCCCATCATTGAAATATTCTTTTTGAATCATCAGAAGATTGACATGCCTATTTAGAATCTTATTCTTAGTGATTCTCACAGGAACAGTGGAGAAATTTCCGAATCGATCGGTTTCTAGAATGAAAACATTAATTGATAGATTGTTCAGATTTTCGAATTTATTAATCTGATTTAGTCTCATTGGCTTGTCAATTCCAGTCATATCCAAAACCTCATTGTAATAAGGATACGAATAAGTTCTATCAGAATGTTCATCTGCAGGATATAAACAAGACGTCACTGCCCAAGCGAAGCAAGCTTCATCTGAATTTTTGATGTTACTACAAGCACGTTTGTGAATAATTTGGTCAGGAAGTTTGATATAAGAAGAACCTCCATACCCCATTCCTACCTTATTGAAATTAACTTCCAAATTAATCATTTTATGCAGAGTCCATCCACTGTCCCGCTCTTGAAACTCATCAAATTCATTCAAAATGACATCCGTTACATTTTCTTCATACCATTGCTCCAAATCCACTTCAGCATCAATGATAAAGTTCTTAGTGTTCAGATATTTGTAATCGAATATGATTTCATCATTTTTATTATTTTTCAAGAATTCTCCACAAAAACATGTGTTTATTTTCATGAAATGGAATTTTTTCAGCATCCTTTGTACTCTCGATTTGAATAAAAAAAATGAGTCTCCTAAAAATTGTCTAACATCGATATGTTTCAAATTTATGATAACTGCTGAACGTATTCGTTTATTAAAAGCTGACTGAATATCTTCCCATCTGATTCTATCATTTCTTCTTCCATTATTTTTGATACCACCACCGACAGATATCAATTTTCTGAATCGCTTCAAATGTCCAATGTTAGTTTGGAGTTTTCTCAAAGATGATACATTCATGTCACCATCACGAACAGCTCTATTGAATAGTCTCAAATTTGTAATGTATAGTGTAATCCATCTTTCTCTGATAGGTATGCTAGTACTATCTGAAATTTCTTTATGAGCTTTGAGAAATAATTTGATAATCTCATCGCTATGCTTCGCAATATCACATTGTTCCATGATACTTCACCTTTCAACAGTTAACTCAAAAATGATACTCAATATGGTGTTAATATATTTAAATTCACAAATTCTTTCTTTTTTTTTTCTCTTGTCGGGCAGACTTTGGACTATCCTGCAGAGTTTCTAGACAATACAAATTTGTGCTACTGACAATTTTATCATAAGGATTATTTTTCAATGGGTTAGATGCCGTGGTGAAGAAGTTATGTAGGTCTACAGATTTCTTACAAAAACAAAAATACTTCTTACAGTCTAGGCAGAATTGAGTATTCATATTAGAACTCACTCAATGTTTTTCACCAACTCGAAACTATAGGCGTCCTTCGATTTCCCAACGTCCTTCTGGCCTTTATACACCAGAGCGTATTTCTTTGGTGTGAATTCTTCCTCTTTTCCTTCCACCAAGTCGGTCACTCTTTGCGGAAGAAAGACTACAAAATCTTCCAGTTCCGCCAGGATACACTTCCCAAATCGTGTTTTCACAACCTTAATACTAATTATCGGTATCTTCTTATTAACTAGAAGATCAGACAGCTTCACGGTCTCCTTCCTTACCAACGAAGCCTCTCTGTTTATAGCTGCAAGATCCATCTAAAATTATAGTCCATTCTTGACTTTGAGAATTTCAATCAGGAATTGTGATCAGAAATTTGATACTAAACAAATATCAAACTCACTTTTAGGTAGGATGTTTCACTTTTTCACGATTCAACAAGTTCACGACAATATTTCACAATGATCATCTATCCTCCGCTATCTTTTTTATACCAATATTCCCACTCATACCTCCCCACTTTTACTTGCTTACTCAATCATGAATAATGGCAAAATAAGATCATCAGCTAAAGTGACATCACTTGTTTACGAAGTTCATGGGTAAAGATGATATCAGCTTTCAATGTACAGGATGGCAAATAAAATACTTAGTTCATGGATTCTTCATTTTATTTTGAACACTTGCAATCAAACAATTCCAGATGACCAAACACCTAAAACATTTTTAAAATTGTAGGAATTTCTGAATTCACACGTTCTATATTCTATACAATCTCGTTTGCACTTGAAACAATGAATATGAGCAAATGCATGAATATGTTTATTATTACAGAACAATGATGCTGAGTATTTTTTCATTTTCGAAACCAAATATGTACGGGAATAACAAGACGGGCACAAGATGAAATGTTTTCCATTAACTGGATTGAACAAATGATAATACTTATTGCAGCTCGCATATTTAGTATGACACATATTCTCGTTGATGAAATTATCCAACGGATAATTCTTCTCAGGAATCTGGTAGGGTTCTCCACGTGAAGGAAAACTCAGCTTTATCTCAACATCTTTTCCACCATCGAACTCTTCATCATTTATAATTTCTCCATTACGTGAAATTGGGATCACGCAATGATATTCATCCACAAAGTCATATGACTGACCTGACAAACTACTGATGGCACTATCTTCAAATTCAGACATAATGATACGTAACTGAAGAGGATAACAACAGAACTGATGAAAAAATACAGTTTTTCATGATTTTTATACATTTTTGGAAACCATTACTGTCCATCCTATAATCGAAATTTGCACCGGTAGATTGTGCATGTATTATCGATGAGATCATTAGTGCTCGATAAACAAACTTATTGTTGTTGTTGCGATGAGATCATTGAGGCGTGGAAACGACGGATATTTTGTTATTGTTGTCTGCATAGTGGCCATGATATTATGTTAATCGATGATCGAGCGTGATAAACAAACACACCTAGCAAATTATTATTGAATTCATTACACTGATGAGATCATGGCATAGGAAACGTAAACAGGGTGATTTCTGGACCAAAGACTGGCAACGAAAAATGTTACCGAAATTTAGGAACCAGGCACCCTAGATACATTCTAAGTTATGCATGACGTCGGGGTTCTTCAGTTCACACACCAGGAGCTCTGCAACGTCTTCAACTGCACTTGGAGGAACTCGATGACCGTTTGAGCCAGATTGAGCATAGAGCGTTCTGGGTCCAAAACTCTCCTAAATACTCTACTCGCGGTAGAGCGGGACGTCAAAATTATTTTAATCGCAACAATCGTTTCCAACATCAGCGTGGAAATACAGAAACAAGGGGGCGAAAATAGTAGACGTCAACATCATAATGTGGGTCATCGTTTCGAAGACAGAAATCAGGCATCTTCATTATGATACGTAAGAACTTACGGAGAGAGTCGACATCAATCTGATGTTTCGGAAAACCAATCGATTGGGGGGAATGTAAATATATTCACACTAGATTCAACACTTTCGAATTTTGTGTTTCTTCCTATTGAAATGACATCATCTCAAAATACACTTTCAGTAGATACCGGAGCTGATATATCCATTTTCAAAAGAACTAAGATACATAGTAGTCAAATAATGAATATTTCAAATACATGTAATATCAAAGGAATCACAGACGGATAGGAAAATTCTTTGGGTTCCACAGGAACAACAATTCTGGACCTGAGTATTGAAAAGGCCAATCTCCACTTTCATCGATTTTGAGATATCTCCAGTAAATTCCCGAGTTCAATTCTAACGATACAAAAAAGGCCAATCTCCTGTTGCTAAGGGTACATTATCAAGTGTAGGGCTCATATCCAAAACCATTAAGAACTAAAATGGCCAATGTCCACCTGCCATGGAGATTGGCCCTTCTCACGCAATAATCAGCTACAACCGCAACAAAATAATAAATGGAGATTGGCCCCTTGATTGAACCTTACCTGATAATTTGTGTACCACATAACGTTCGGTGCCGTTTTGACTTCATTAGAATGTATTCTGAAAGAACCAAAAGACTTATATCTTTACTGAATTGTGCTGAGAAGAAAACTCAAGGTAAGTTGCAATAATGAAGATAAGAAGTAGCTATAATATTTTGGTATACCTTAGTAAGTATTATGAATATTTCACTATCTTGTACTTATTTTGGATTCTCAGTCTGCTTCGACTTCTGTAATAGTCGAAGAAGTACGTCGTATTGATGATGATGGTAATGTTAATGTAAAAGTTCCAGTTACACAGGTGAGCAGTGAGATATTTTGTTCGACAAGAAAAGTTCACTGAATATTTTTTTAGAATGCTGAAGAAGAGGTTAGCAATGACTATGTGCCAAATGAGAGCAACAGTGAAAGTGAAGAAATGAATGATGAAGGAAATGTATTGCCAGAGAAAACGGAAACGCGTCAGAAAAGAAAATACATGGAAGCAAGTTGAACGCACGGAAAATAAAGCTAGGGAAAAACAGTACAAGAAAGCAAAAGGTTATTACAGGAGAGATAAGATATTGCAACCTCTTTGTAACTGTAAGAGAAAATGCCAGAATTTTATCAACGAAGAACAGAGAACTCGTATTTTTAGTTCATTTTATGCACTAAGTAGACATGCTCAGGATCAATTTTCATCAGAAACTGTTGAGGAATGCTTGAAAGATAGAGAAAGGTTACCAGAAGGAAAGCTCCTTAGCAGACGACAGTTTTTCTGAAAGATATTATTTAAAAAACATAGAAGGACGCAGAATACAAGTATGTCAAAAAATGTACCTAAAAACCTTCGACATTTCGTTGAAAGAGATCAGGGTTTGTAACGGTCCACTTGAACCTTACATAAACTTGAGTGACCCTTCTACTATTCATTTTTTTTTTTTCAGTGCAATCAGTTCGGAGTAACACTCAGTATGCATCGTATTTTCAACAGAGAAATAATAATTCAGCATTAATTTGTCGGGACAACCTGTATATAACTTTCATCTTCTTCCTGTGATTGTGATCGAGTCATACGTGAAGATGCTGATTTGTTTCTCTGCTAAGAGTTTCACTTGTTGATGTGTTTATCTCATTCTTATTTTTGTCTACAAACTCAAGACTTCTTCTTCTATTCATAACAATTAAAATATCAACATAGAGAATTCACTTCTATATGATTGCCTCACCTGTGTTATTAAAACAGTGTGGACAATCGATGTCACGTTAAATACAAAGTCACTAGATAAGGCCAATTCACACAGCACTCAATTAGACCAAGCGCTCTGATTTCTTAGTGTTCTGTGTCTAAGTTCGACGGTGTAATCTTGACCCCGCCGAAATTCGAGCAAGATTGACGGAGATCGTTCTCTCTCGACTGGCGCTTGGCAGAGCAACACGTAAATTTTCACATTCTTTCGAAATGCCAATTATATTGGAAATAGGCCGATTAAAACCTATAGGTATGTACAATATGATATAAGGTTCATTTTGAGCCATTTGATAATGTTCACACAATTATAAAAGTATAAGAAAACACATCGATCAACGTGATATTCTTTTCAGGCCTTTTTGGTTTCTACTGAAGCCATTTGCGATGATGTGCAATATGCACTTGCGCACATGACATGTCGTCATGGCGGCTATTTGAGGATAACCTAACCTGTTGTGGATGTTTTGGTTAAATGTGATGTATATTTCACAATTGGGATTTATGGTTCGATGCCTCCCAAATTTCAACCCATATTATTGCTAATGGGGCAATAACAAGTGTTCGTCAGCTGATGGAGTTTGCTGCATGTTCTGTTTATGTTTGGATACCATGTATATGAAATAAATGGATACCATTTGCTGATGCAATTTATGGAGTATGAGGAAGCCACCCATACGATTAATGGTTAATTTTGAGAAAGAGTATAATGATGGATGACCCTCAGTGAGTACTACTTGTGATGTAATTTTTGATTACCATTGAGGAGTTGAAGACATAGATCTCCACTAGTGTCCTACTTTGTTTTCCTTGTAATAAGTGTTCTCCTATTTGTGAGAAACGAAATAACAGCTGCTATTTCCTTTCGTAGGAAACCTAGGTATTTTGTTTACATTTATTATTCCCAGTCACCTGGTGACTTATTATTATCACTTGCTAGCCACAGTGAGGCTGTCATAGATTTAATTTCACTAACATTACATCTCTTGGCATTGTCTAGAATAGAGTTGAAATACTCACCTATTCATTGATAAAATTTCACTAACATTTTAACCTTAAGTAATCTATGAATTTCAATTTAATCATTACAATTAGTCATTATATTAACATTAATTGTAGTGAACATTGACTTATTACACACTGCGTGTAAGCACTTCTAAACATCATTTAGGTAATTATATGCATGGTTTTCGAAAGGTATTGTAACGTTTAAATTTTTAGTTTAGACCACTTTCTACCAGAAACATCGAAGGCACATTCTGTGGGAATAGTAATGATACACCAAAGCATTTTTATTCGATATTCAAGGAATTCAGGTGGCAGGTACATTTCTTGAGTGTGGTACTGTACCTTCTTTTGTGTCAGGTCACATCGACACATCGAGCACCGTCCTCTCCGTCGCAGCCTGGAATTGAAAACATTCGCGTACAGTATTGCGGAATGCGGATTGTTTATAATAACCTGTTAGGTATTGCTAATAAATTTTCAACTACGTATATACCTGTATAAACATCTGCATAGGGATTTAAGCGATTCGAGGGGCCCTGGAGTTTGTCGATAAGTGTTCCTCGTCCCCTGTTATTCATTTGAAGACCTGAAAAAGATGAAGTTAATTGTGGTGTTGTTGTGTAAATAGTGTGTAAGGTGCTGTGTTATTGGTATCTAAAAGATGTTTTTATCGAGTGGTAATTATATTTAACTCACCAGAATTTTAATTGGCGATCATATCCACTCTCAGCCCTTCTGGTTTTGATTTGGTTTATTAATTAGTTATTGTTGTTGTTGTATAATTCTTGAGGTTAATTGTACGCCCGTCATTTCTGTCTAATAGTTGTGTCTTCTCTGACAGGACTATCGCAGGAGTACCAATTGTTTCGCGTTTGGCGTGAAACCGTAACAGCAGTATTCGTGCAGGCTGCGCGGGGTTGCCAAAGTTATTTTAGGAATATCCTGATCTGAGGTCTATCATTTCATGGATCAAAATTGAGACAATCATCAGGACTTTACTGTTTTAAGGTAGTAGGAGTTGGAAGTGGCGTATTGGTGCCAGGCTGCCTGACAATCGCAGGAATTTACGAATTTCATTGGTTTTAGTAAGTAGTGCCATCTAGCGTGGTAAGACCACTATGGTAAAGTTGAAGTATAGGTTGATAGATTTATGACATTCTGTCACATGCACGTCACATGTTGGTGTTTTGTGGGCTCGGTGCAATCAGGCCCATCATTCGTGAACTGGTTACTGGAGTGAAAAGTACAACTACTGATGGACTGAAAACCTAGTATGGTCGTCTGAGGTTATCTCCAAAAATTTGTGATTTTAGAAATCATCCTTTATTGGGTTTCATTTTGGAGGTGATCAAATTTATTTTGAAAATTGTCGTTGCCTATGGACGTTGGTATTTTTGTTGTTGATTTCCCAAAATTTGTCTCGTGTAGAGGATTTTGTCTGACGCCATTCCATCGATCATTCTGAGTGACCAACAAGAACTATTTCCAGGTATGTGGTTATTCCTTGAAAGGAAAATTTATAATTCCTGCTATTTCACCTTTTCTCAACACCAATTGCTAGTTTCCAAGTCTTACAATTTTGTTCCTTATTGTCAGATACCATAAGGCCCATAGTCGCGTGCAGGGCGGAATAACACACTCTAGGAGCCCTAAAGGAGTAATCACACTCAAACGAAGAACCCCTTGGCCAGGGTAAGCATTCTCATGAGTAATTCAACTTAATTAAGTAGAGTATGCTATGGGTTGACCTAATTTTTTTGCACTTTAGGCGTGGTGCCACTTAAATTTAATTTATAGGCAAATTAAGTCCAATCAGAAATTTCTCAATTTGAATGAGACTAGTTCTGTTGTTGGATTGGAAATATGTGTAAAAGTTAAAACAATTTAATTATTTGTTTTTTTAATTTTGTGAAGTATAGGCTCTATTCTACTTATATGCTTATATGCTTCTAAGTAATACAGTGTTGCCACTTCCATTATATTTGGAGGGCACTCACTCACAGTTTGTTGAAAAGGGAAATAAATTGGTGAAGGGTTTCTTATTCGAATCTATTGGGAGCTACATTGTCAGTATGGTGTTGAATATTTCTGCGACTCTCATTTTCATTTTTTTTTTTTGAAAAGGCAGGACTGCCATTGCTATCTATTTTTTTCATTATGGGAAAAATGTTGACTGCGTTTCTCCCACAGGGTTTTTTTTTTTGACTGGAAAACTTCCGCAGCAGACAGGCTGTACTACTGGGTGCTATTTGATTGGTCGTGCTCCCCAAGCATCATCTACTGTCACCTCACAGGGACCTAGTGGCTTGTTGGTACCCTCGAAGCGGGATATACAGGGTGGCCCAAGAATATCATATACAGGGTGGCCCAAGGATACCATTATACAGGGTGGCCCAAGCCAATGGTGATCTACATTCCAGGGGTTGATCCAGTGAGCGGTTTCACCGTTCAGGATAGCACGCAAGTTTTTGAACAGCCTGCTTATTTTTTTTTTGCTTCTCCGTTTTTTTTTTTTGTAATTAACTAGTTGATAACTAGATGTTTCTGTGTTGCCTGTTCCTTTTAGCCATACATGCGTCTGGTTACTTTGTACAGCGTAAATTAAGCACTCTGGTGGTTGTGGGTCTTATACCAAAGTTGTGAATTTAATGCGCTTGCGCCTGAGCTCACGCGACGCTTACATAAATCATAAAATCTGCTTAATTCCAGCGCTCTTCAACTCTGCTTATTTTTTTTTATGTTTCTCCCTTGATATTACTATATTATTATTATGCTTATTGCTTGATGTTGCTATATTATTTATTATGCGTATTGCTTGATATTGCTACTGCGGCTTATTATTTTTTTTTTGTGGCTAACGGCTAATATATTTTCTTTTCCTCAAGTTAGTTGGTGAAAAGTTGCCACTGGCTTATTATTTTTCTTCTGTTGTGACTAACGATTGATAGGGCTTGATATTGCTACATTATTTATTATGCTTATTGCTTGATATTACTATATTATTTATTATGCTTATTACTTGATATTACTATATTATTTATTATGCTTATTGCTTGATATTGCTACATTATTTTTCTTCATATTTAGCGATTAAGGGTGCTACTGACTTACCGCCTATTAATTTTATTTTTTTTTGTGGCTAATGATTAATATCGCTTGTACTATCGCTATTTTTTTTTGCTTTCATCGATCAATAGTGCTATTGGCTAAATACTTTGTTTAATTGTTGCATACTACCGCGGTACTCATTTTAATTC